TTTTCGAAACAATCTCTGGGGGTACTTTTTGTGCGCCTCCGCCTGGCGGAGACTTTTCCTTGAATTGGGACACTGCACCCCTAGGAGCAGGGCAGAGTTGGCCTGGAGTGGCCCAAGAGAGCATTAAATTGTGGTTATTTGTTCCTAAGCTTAGAGAAATTGATAAACAGTCTGAAAGTTAAAACATCTGTGGCGGGTTCATTTCTGGCCAAGTTTTCTAGCAATGAATAGAACCAAGGGAACAGACAGTGGTGGTTACTCATTATAATATATGAGGCAAAATTTTTTTTGCAGGTTCAATTTACTCTTAAATCATTAGGTTTGTTTCAATACTCTGAATTTAGGTTTTCTTGATTTCCGATGTCCGAACTGACATTTGTTTTCATCTGTGAAATTAATCCCAGTTCATTTCAGTATCTTTTGTCTTTGTTGGCATCAGCTCAATTTTTGATGCATTAATTGTATGACAAGCCAGCACAACGACACAGTCATAATAATAAACCTTTCTATACAGCTCTGCCACATATAGCTTGTGCATCTGTATTCTCATCCACTTTACAGAGTTTGAAATCTACCCCTCCCCCCTTGGGGCAGGTGCTTTCATACTAGACAAATTCCCCAGGAATTTCCGGGGAAATTGCCGGGGAATTTCGGTCGGTTTGTTCTCACTACCAAAGAAATTCCCGGGGGAAAAAGCTTTTCCCCTGAAATAGTGTCCCTGGGAGTTACCAAATGGGTCTACTGCGAACGGTTGCTGGGGTTTTGGTGGGGTAAAAAATCCCCGGGATTTTTCCCGGGGATTTATTTCCTGGGGATTGGCTCTGCAGTATGACAAGGCCTTTAAGTGAGTTTTGATCGGTAAAAGGTTGAAAGCCGAAGTTTATAGACCACCATACTTGTCAAGTTATATCTCGATACAATCCGATCTCGAAATAATCTGCAGAATTTTTGCTAAGGTGATAATGATAATTGTGACAATATAGGAATACCAATGAAGATATTAAATTTTGAGCAAAGTTCCTTACCGGCCACCACGACATTGTTTTCCCGGCAAGAAAGTACCCTTGTGCGTTGGTTCGGTTCGATCTGTACATTGACTGGGGAAAAACCAAGGCACGCAAGATTAACGATCACATAAGTATCACACAAGTTATGGCATGTGTCAAATTCAAAAAAGAAAATACCCAGATTAAAACCAAGAGGCTTTCCGTTTGATGAAGGTAGTAGGGGCGGGGCCAGGGTTCTGCTATTAAGGGGCGTAAACAGCTCTTGCCACGATTGCGACGATTACTTTCAATGCATCAGCAAGGGGCCAGGCTTGAACCAAGACGAGAATTATGCAAAGCAAATCACATCGAGCTTTGAGGCGTGGGTAACATGTTACACCTCCGCCTAACCCAAGATCCTTCCGGTGAGATAGACTTTGCCAGGACTTGCATGCTGTGCAGAGCTCCATTCATCTGTGCGCATGCACACATGTGCACCAAGGCCAAGCAACGTGCAACCTAATGAGAGAGACGGCAGGTGGCTCCAAGGCCGGATCCAAATTTGTTTTTATGGGGGGGGGACAAGTTAGCATCTTCCCGGTGTGTTTTTGCATTAACTGATCGCACCACCAGTCACAATTAAGCATGGTGCTCCGACACGATTTCCTGAACAAAATGGCTCTGTCCATACTACAAAACAACCTCCATTTATGACAGTATCTTCACTTTGATTTCAAAAACCAACTCATGGGGGGGGGAGCATGGCCCCCGTTGGGCCCCTCCCCCTCGAGTGGCTCCAATTAGTGTTTCTAATCAATAGACCGTCGGGACTGTCCATAAAAATACAAGTACGTGGCGCGCGAATACGCACGGAGTGCTGACATAGAATGCACCCATACGGACTGGGGTCTAACCATGGAGGCATACACGAAGGTTACATCGTAGGCAGGGTGGTTTAACCGTGACGATGTTCCTCCCAGGAGCCGCTTAAATATATCAAAATCGTTCCAACACTGGTGGAGTGAGGCATTCAGTGATGCTAGAATATTTATGGCTAGTCTCAACATGGATGTGAAAAACCAAGGGGGTGGTGCCACCGCATGCACTGCCCCGGGAAAGGTCAGCTTCGCGCGTTGATAGCCCAGTCCCTCAAAGCACGAGCCACGAGTGGACCACAGGTGGACTATGACTTAGTCACGAGGGAGCTCTGCCAGGCTAAAGGCTCGGTGTTTTTTTGGTCAACAGTGAACTAATAAATGTTGGCAAATTCTACATACATGTATGTAACCGTGGAGCGTTCGAGGGCCATGTAGGAGGACTTAATGACTTAGCTGATATGTCTATTTATGACGGTTTTCTGCACGGCTAAACTGGTATTTGTGGAACCGAACATCACGTGGAATAGCGATCGCGTATGCATGTAGGCCTACTTGCCAAATTAGGGGAGAGGTCGAAGGCGTGTGTCAAACATTGTCAGAATTGTAGCAGATGATAGATCAGCCAGAGCACGCAAATTTAGATTAAGCCAGGCATGCCATGCATGTCTTCGCATGAGTATATAACCACGGTATAACCAACCCAGCCCCCATGCCACAGGGCTGGCGACGTTTCTGATGTACCTGTAGTCCTGTACTTACCCACAAACCGACGGCCACTACAAACAAGAAGTACACGCTGATGATGGCGTAATCGGCCGGCTCCATGCGGTTGACGAACTCCTCAGCCATGTTGTTGCGTGAACCAAGGAAAATGTGTAGCAACTTTACAACAGGAGAAACCACCAGCACTCACAGGGCAGTGTAGCTCGTGGGCCTACAGTGTGCGTGTTGTCTCAGAGATGTCGAACCAAGTACACGTTTCTAGACTCAAGAGGGTCAATCGTCCTTGTTATCGGTTATGTCATAGGTTAAGACAATAAGAGCACGCCCGGGAAGTACCACTAGAACTCTGGGTTCGTTGGCCGCGCCGCCGAGCTCCACATTCGTGACCGGGAGCGCAGCGGACAACGAAACCCAGAGTTCAAGAGGTAGCTCAGGAACTGGAGTTTAAAGCAAAAACAGATTGCAGCTTGCAGCCGGAAGGAGCAGATAAAGCATGGAGGTACCTTCATGGACAAACCCATGAAATGATACTTTCACCTCAACTTCTCAAAGGTCCGTACGCCGAAAACCGCGTATCAAGCCACGCCGCAAGCTTGCTGCTAAAAGATGAAACAGTGGCTATGATCGCGTCGCTATCAACTACGTTTAGGCATCTGCATGTTTCGCGCATCATCAGGAAAGCAGTAGGCCTAGACTCGTCTCCGAGCTCCACAGAGCGTGTGGAAGGAATGCGTGGCGGGAAAATCTGGCAGGCGGGACACAACTTAAGGTACCTACCGCTGGCAGTAAATGGTCCGTGCGGTAATCCAAGCTAGCACTCAGCGCTCGGGAATTCGGTCCATCACATGCCCGGGAGCAATGCGGATGTTAGTACAGACCTTGGCCAATTGGGTCAAAGGACATTACAGGCGAGTTGTACCACTTATTGCCCCGTATATAAACACGTCACCTTGATAACCAACTCTAAAGTGTGTTAATTTCTCTGTTTATAATGACTCTATGCATTAGAAGCCTGACAACACTATTCATATGGCAGGGTACCCACTCATGGTGACAAATGTACAGTGCAATGGCGTGTAGTGTAAATAGCGAACCGAGCAAACTTGTATGGTGCCGCCTCACCTGGGTCATAAACACTCCGCGTGCTTATTATGAAAGTGCAAAGTACACACTGCGGATATTTCCTCGTGCATAAAATATTTACCCAAACACTATAATGTATGGATGTTTTCCAGCTTAAAAGTTGAGTTTCGGTCTTATCAAGACCGTGGGAAATAACCTCGGGATAACATTATTTCCCATCATGCATCCGTGTAATTATGTCTGATGTATTTACATGCTGATCTCCATCAGTTTTTAGGCTGGCAGAAATAGTTCTAAACTGACCACTTGGCATGATCAAGTAAGCGTCCTCAGGTTTTTTTTAGGGGGGGTGCAAACCATTTTTTCCAGAGGTGAAAAAATAGGAAAAGCACTCATCTGCCATAACTTCTTCCACAACAGTGACAGAGGCCAGTTTTTGAGTTTGTTTGTTCGTTTGTTTATTAATCTCTTTCAAGAAAATTTGTACTTTTCATCCGCATTCCAATGATTTTTGTCATTTCTTTCGTTTTTTTTTTCATCTTTTAGTTTTCATATTTTGGGGGAGGGGGCAAGCACCACCCCTTACCCTTTCCCCCCCTCGTGACGTCCATGCAGTGATCACCTTGGAATAAGGTACGCATAAGGCACTATGCAAATGAACTGTCAATATAGTTATTGTCTTCGTTGCATATTCAGTAATCGAACAAATTGTGCGCACGCCACAGAGCGCTCATGATCACGACGCTCATAAACAAACTGTTTACTCATACACTACTCAAAACCTCTCAATTAGACCTGTTACGCAACAGATAAACGTCCTTCCCAAGACCATGTCGACATTTATGATTGGTTAGTTGCCAGCCAAGGTTGGCTTGGCGACGCTGTATCAAAATCGGGCGTGTGCGGTCAAACAGGTGCTGCCGTGAAATAAATTCAATATTTATTTTTCAATATTACGGACTTGTAAGATGTCGGTTTGTACCGCACATAAAGCCAATGCACACTACTCAGTTTTACGCCAATTCTGTCTGTTTACCCATTCTCGCTTTGCCTTCGACTTGCTGTCCTGAGATCCAATATATAATCATCGAGCTCCATGATATAATTACCCAGTCGGTGTTGTCTGTCCATAAACGTATGCACGCCATGCCTATGCATGGTTCTGATGAATACTTGAAACCACACCAATATGGAAAAATGATTAATTACACTATAATGCTTCACAAATTTAATAGGCCAATGGCATTGTAGAAATAACCATGTCAAGGTGTTGTGGGAATGGATGGCTCAATGTGTGCTGTGTTGCCGGTAGGTCGGGCGCTTATAAGAAGACAATGTTGGAAAAGTTGAAACCGCTGGACAGTTAAAAACCAAGCCATTTCACCAAACCCATATATTAATTGCGATTCCAAAGCCGATCACTACGAGTGCGTTGATATTCGCGACCCACCGCCACTTGGGATTTTCCTCGATGGAGGCGGCGTTCTCTGACGATTCGACGACTTCCCGCGAGATGCCGCACACCCAGAAGATGGCTTTCTTCCATCGCGGGAACGAGGCGACTGTGGACGAGAAAACGCGATACTAACTGCTTTTTACTGCAACTATTATGGAGAAATTAACTGCTGGTGTTACATTTGAGAATAAACTTCGGAATCGTATTTTTTCTTTCTGAACCGATTTCATTTGAGAATATTTGGAAACGTCTTCGAAAGTTTGAAAATTGTTTGCAATTTAGTGACAGTTACATTTTCATCACGAGATATGTTGCGAGGGACCGGACTCCAAGTCATTTGTGTCTGTACGGTGTTTGCGACTTGACACAACAAACGTGTGAGTGAAGCCGTGTCCGAATTACATGGCTGTGACTTGATATTGCACTTGCTTCTATGATAACAGCCGCAGTCGTTATATCCATAGAGTCGTGCGCAATTCCGAAGTCGCAGCCAAGTGACTTAATTGGACACGTGCTAACGATCTGTTAAGTTTAGAATGACTTTTGCCGACGCCAAGGATCTGATAGTTGGACACTAGAAATCCATATTTGCTCGCCAAGTCTGTTGCCCGTGCAAAACGCTGCAGATTTGAGCACCTCCACGCATGCGAACCTGTACCACTGCGCACACGTAGTGCGCTGTAAGGCCACAAAAGCCATCTTCTGTTCTTTTCCATAAACTTGCTGCAATGCAATACGGTGCATTATGATTACGGGATTGAAGATGATACCTTGCTTATCAGCCTCCTCGTTATCTGATTCTTCCTTGGTGCCGGCGGCGTCCTCGTCTGTCGGCACACTCTTCATCTCCGTTTCCCGGGGAACCAGTGGCTTCTGGCCACGTGTTGACCACGTCATCCCGACGACCTGTCATGAATATTTGTCAGAACATTAAGCTTTTTCTGTGGAAATGATATGATTCGCGATTGGGCGTAACGGTGATGATACAATATTGCTGAATTCAAACAGGTTAGGCCTATTTGAAAACCAATTTCAAGGCTGCCTCAGAATTTGATGATCAAATTATCATGAAATGTTCCCCGTAGACCACTTCCCTTACTCCTGCGGAACTATTTTCTTGCAGATTGAGTAAACCTACATTTTCATCCGGCAGTCTTTCCGTGAACAGACTGATCACAATCGTCAGTGTCAGAGACACCACGCCGACGAAGACGTTGAAATACAGGAAGTGAATCTTGGACACGACGGCCGGTCTGGTGTCCTCCACCCCACACGGGGGCGCCCGGTAGATAATGTCCAGGATCATGCGCAACATACCCAGGGCCATGCCGACGATGAACCCCCAGAAGGCACCCTGTTCAAACGAAGCCCCCCCCCCAAAAAAAAAAACCCGTTAAACTTAGTACTTACAAAGCGGGGGCAGAATATTTTGAAATGCCGAATTTTCGCAATGTTAAGAATAATGTGTGACAGGATTGCGTATGCCCTGGATTTGAGGTTGTACCTTGTTGGAACTCAATTCTAAACTATCTTTTTCTTGCTAAAAATGAGGAGTTCCTTTAAAAGAGCCAACATGCTGACCAAGGGCCGAGTTTGCTGACCGTCTGCAAAGTCTCTCATCCTTCATTAATCGGCAGAAGTCTAGATTGGAACCTTCTAAGCCCAAATGCAAATTCGGATTGAGAAGTACAATATACAGATCATTTCGTTATTACTCTTCAAGTGCCCTTCTTGCGGCTTTTATAAATCATGAATAAATTAGGTCCCGTCGGGGAAGGAGTACGGAAGGGTATAAGGGCCACTTGCAAAGAAATTTGCAAGTGGTCCTTATGCGCTTTCGTAAAGGAGGGCCTGTTCATTTAAAAAAACCCAAGGGTTTACAAAAACAACGGACCTTCTCCGTGGTCCGCGACCAGACCATCCCCATGACGAAGCAGGCAAAGATGGGCGGTGTGAAGTAGGACTGCATGGAATTGATGTAGAGGAAGATCTGGCCCGAATGCGCAGACTGGACGATGGGGACCCACATCAGGCTGATGGCCAACAGAAAGACCACGAACACCCTGCAGTGGAGTCAACATGTAAGAGAACCATACAGATGGGACTTTGGCAAGTTCGAAAAATTAATGACGACTCGAGATAAGTTAATGTAATAGTTCGACAAACTTCGCCCAGTGGAGCATAATTATTCATTAGTCGGCCAAACTGACAGTGAAAGGGAGGCTAAATCCTCAGTTTGAAACTTGAAAGCATCCGTGAAAAAAAAATTAATTTTCCTGTCAAATTAGTACCTGCTACTCTGATGAATCGTTTCATATTTTAGACAAAACATAATTCAGTGTTTTACGCAAGTTTGGAAACATTGAAAGGGATGCTTGGAAGCCACACGAATTCTAAATAGTTTCGGATACCATTCAGTTCAGCAGGTAACAATTTACAAGACAGATTCAATGAACTTGATCAAAATGGCTTCCTCAAAATGGCTCCATCGCTGAATGGTTGGACTACCTAACTGACCATCTAAACCAGCCCCAGGCGGGCAGCTGTACTGGCCCCAGGCGGGGCACGCGGTCGCATCACTGGTTTAGTCGCCATTTTCATAATTGGGTGCAAAAGACAACCGTTGACATGAGACAAAATTGTGAGGGATGGTAGAGATAATGAAACAACGAGAGATGCCATCAACATCAAAATAAGACAAATGTAATGATTTTGCAAGATAATTTCACTATCGGTCGGGTGGGACTGTGAGCAAAATTGTCAAGAAGCGAGTGACCAGAAGTCGAAGTACAGGTCGCACTCGACATGACGTCACATGCACAACATTTAGACATAACCATAGAAAAAAGTTTAAAATGTAGGCCTCCACAGAGTTTAGTTCTCACCGTCCTACGATCATGATCTCTTTATTGGCGGCCTTGGGTCGAATGCGGCGCCAGATGTCCATCGTAAAGATCGTGCTGCCGCTGTTGAAGATGGACGTGAGTGAACTCATGAGGGCGGCCATCATAACTGCTACCATCAAACCGCGAACGCCTGAGATTGAGAAGTCGATAGAGAGAAAAAATAACTTCCTTGAACTGAAATGAAGTACGAATCGTTGTTTTGAGTTGTTCATAAGGTTCGTTCCGACTTTGTGGGTTTGGTAGCATTTACATGAGATCTTATCTTGCACGTTTTTTCGTCCTTTCAGGGACTCCAAGGTGTTGCCAGTCGGAATCTACTAAATTTAGCAGTGAATGGATTAGAATAAACAAGACTTGCTGTAAGGAAATTTTATAAACTTATTTTGTTATCCAAAATGACAGGAACATTAGGCGTTGACAACCGGTGCTTGCGACTGGTTGTGCCTGCACGGCGGACGTTAGGCCAGAAGCTTCTCACCTGGATGTTAGCTTTCCTAAAAGCAACTTTGTTGCCGCTTCAAAAGTGGGTTGCTCCCTTTAAACATTCCCTGAACATAGTCAAATTTCTTTGGCTTCATTATGAAATATTCACAAATATACTGTTTTTTTTCTTGCGTGTATACAACTGCTCTGGGTGCAGATACACAAACTACTGATTTTGAGTCACCTTGTAATGGGCTTTAGCTAAGGCTTTGGCCTTGAGGGGCGAAGCCTGGGCCTTGAGGGTCAAAGCAATTGCTTGGCCTTTTCCTTGGGTGACTGACCTTTTGTTCCAACGCTGTTTTTTAGTGAATTATTTTATAAGGATGTTCTTTGTTGCAGTGTCCTTACCCAGTGACGTAAATATGGGCCGGGAATGGGGGTGGGGTGGGGAAAGGTGGGGGGATGACTTCCCCGGACATGAAAAGTTGAAAAGCGAGGGTGGGGGGAGTGACACCATTTGACCATATAGAGCTCGGTGTGCATGATATTGATGTACATCTGTAATTAGGAATTTAGAATGGCATATTTATGGCTGTTTTGTTTTCCTTTTCTGAGTGACACTGAATGCATTTTTAGTCGTTGGAAGTCTGAAAAATTCTTTACTTTCCGCTTTAATTTTTTGCTCTCCGCCAAAATGTGGGGGATGATCCAATAGCTCATCTCCCCCCTCCCCGAAAAAAAAGTATGTGTGTGTGTGTGGGGGGGTATATACTCCCTACCCCACCCCCGGGATTTATGCCCATGTTCTTACCGCTAGGCATCGGCCCAATGACCAGCTTAGGGTACGCGATATTACTGCACCCCACTTCACTGTCACAGATTCGTTTGCACTCAGCTGGTTCAGTGCAAGCAACTTCATCTGTCAGGAACCAGACAATAAGGTTGAAGAGAGCGGGTTTTGATTTCCTTGGAGCAGAGAAAATCTGTCTGTATTAGAGTAAATGGCAGTCTGGACACTCTGGACAAATCTGTCCGGAAGACAGCAAATGACGAGTCAATTAAAGTGTTCTATTTCATCTGTGATAAAAGTCAATTTAGATGGAATAAAACTGGCATGGGTACATTTCCGTTTCATTTACAATTTTTTCCCGAGGGGGGACATCTAACCTACGGCTAGGAATTTCGTCAAATCATGAAGCTGAAGATTATCCACGTTTGCTGTGTGTGAGGTTTAGTTACCCGTGAAAAGTATCCGCGCAATCATGCCCGGCATGACGATCATGAAGATCATGCACAGTTTGAAGTAACTGGCCAGAACAGATCCTGCCTTGGCGTGGGTGACATGCTTGGCAGCCAGAGCTCGCTGAACAATGAGCTGCACGGATTTCAAAAAACAAAACAAAATGATGGGAAATTTTCAGTTCGTCACGGATGGAAAACAACCTGGCTGGCGCAGACCTGCATTTGTTGCCTTGGCTGGAGCGAACAACTCGGAAATTTTTCGTGGCCAAGATTCATCGAATAAGCCCTGGCCTTTGTATTAGATAAAAGGATGGCCACTTTTACGAGGACCTCGTTTTTTGCAACTTGAACCTTCGAGGCAATTCGAACACGTGCATTCGTGGCATTTGATGGGAAACTTTGCACATTTCTTAAGTTTTCTGGGCTCGTTTCCACCCACTAAAAATCAGCTATGACGAAACTCAGAAAACCGAGTCTTCGATATATAACATTTACTTTTTTATACCAAACAAAAAAAGTCTTAGCACCAAAGCTAAATTTTGTTCCTGCAGAGAAAAATGAAAGCAACCGACCAAATGAGAATTGATGTTGGAATGAGGCACGAGGAATGGTTTCCTCTTATGCCAAAGAGACTAGTTTCAACACGTATTGTACATTTTGAATTATAAAAACTAAGTCAGTTTGTACTATAAAAAAAAAAAAAAGACTGGCGTGTTCTGAGCTTCGCTGACGGTACCGACGTTTCCAGTCTCAGATGTACCGCATCACAGTTCGGTTAATGAAATTTATGGATACTGTCACGATATCATTTGTTGCGGTGTTTGCGATGTAGAAACCGAGCTGTCGATGTTAGCTTTGAGCATGGCCGGGCACGTACGCACTAAGTTTAAATTGATTAAAAAGCACCCAGGCCACGCGCTGTGCCTTTGTGCGTGACAAACTGAAACGCATATTATTTTCGGATTGATCAACACAGTTCCACTTGGTCACGTTTTGTCAAACGGGAACTTCCGGCATTCCTTTTTAGGGCAAGGTTTGGAGACAAGACAAGACAATCCTATCTGTCATTTCAAATTTGATTAGTGTTTAGTGAAGATAGATGTTTAACTAAATGACCAAGTGTAATCGACACACTTTCTTTCCCAGTTTAGGATTTCTCTTCGTTTAGTCTTGATTGCTTCCTTGTTCGCTTTTAGCAGGCTTGTTCGCTTGTTGTCTTGGAGCCCAAGGCTTCGTTGAAAATTATGGATAACACTTAGATCACTCTCCAACTGATAAATTAAAACAACTTCTCAAAAGGAGAGGGGGGGGGAAACGAAAATCTGATTTGAGCGTTTTTCTCCAACCACACCAAAGTACAAATCTACGATGGGAAAGGGCACCACTCTCAAACGCGCCCATGAGCACGCTGACGGTTGACGCGTAGGCTGCAACCGCGGCGTTGTTTTTTTTTACCTGGTCAGCGCAGAAGTACCAGGTGCCCATGAAGAACAGCCCGATGACCGCACCGGGCCAGGGCTGGTCGGATGTGACCGGGTCTCGCATCATACTGAAGGCGTCCTCCCTTGGGTAACCGCAGGTCGTGTTGGGATTGGCCAGGGTCGTGTTGGGGATCGCTTGCATGTACCTCACTTTCAGCTCTTCATAACCTCCCACGTTGACGAGAGCTATAAAACATATTCATGCAAGGTGTGTTTTTAAAAATTCCTCGTTGGCCAAAGATGAAAACATCACCAAAACGAAGCACAGCCAATTAAAACAAAATCAACCAAGTAATGCACTGACGAACAATGCACAGCAATCCAAGCACTAGAGTACGTGAACCATGATGCTTCCGTATTTGTCTTGTCCCCCTGTAGCCCATTGATAATAGTAATACAACTTCTTATATTGATAAAAGGGAACAGACTATTACTCTTTCCAGCCTCAGGCTGCATCCGACTCTGTTGTCTAGAGCTACGTCTAGGTCTTCGCTCCATTGGAAATGTGCGGAGACACGGAGACAATAGATCTAGCCGTAGCTCTGGAAGCCCTTTTCGGACACGGCCTCCGTTTGGTTACATTACTTGAATAATAGAACAGCAAGATGGCTGCCCTATGATAGAGGTCTATTACAAGTAAATCATTGACAGTTTCATATATGCTGTATTTAACTCTGTCTTCAAAAATGTGACATTGTTTAACTTTGACATCTCTTAAGAGTAAGTTAAGTGCACCCATTGGCTTTTCAATTTTGAAAGACATGTTTTATTACCGAGCAACATGAGAACAAAGCCACCGATAACCATCACCAAAGAGCCCAACGTATCCGTATACATCACCGCCCGGAGTCCACCTGACAAAGAAACAAATTTCAGTCAGCGTTGCACAAAAAAATGAGACAGGAACTCAAGAATTGGGCCATCTTAAACCACCTTTATATTTCTTTACGCAGGGGCAATGTTGGACCCCTTAAAGTCGTGGGCAAGTCGTGACTGATTACATTGAAACAGACACCAAAATTCCAATTGGATATGGCTTTTGTTGTAAATCATCACCATGAATTTATTGAAGTGTGTGTTTTTCCAACAAGCAAACACAATACGCTTTTCGCTTGACCTTGCTTTAAAGCTTTGACATCATAGCATAGGTGAGAACGGTGGATGCTACCAACTATTATGATGGTGTCGAAATCTTACGAACGGGTATCAGTTGACAAATTATGATTGATTGTGAAGGATCGGTATGCGAACACAAACGCGTGGCTGTATGTGGGTGCAATACCACCGCGGCCGCGGCCCTTCAATGTAGGGTTAAAAATCTTTACAGGGACCACACCGCCCGTTTGTCAACTCCGACTTGAAGATCACAATCTGGGTCAATACCCAGAGCCAACTGAATCATTCTCTTGGCTAATTTTCGACAATGGGGGGGGGGGTCTTTCTGCAAGTCACCCAGGCCGCACAAACAGAGATACAAGAGAGACAGTTGGTGGAATTTATCTTTCTAACAACCACTGGGAAAGAAGCCCAGTTTCTTTTTCGCATCACGAGAAAGACAGTGGCCTGTACGTGATCCTGCGTGGTTGTTCACTACCGCACTTCGCATTCTGTGTCGGATGTCCTGAATGGTATTCCGTCGTTTTTTACCAGCGATCGTGTACGCTGTAGTGAAAAGCAGTAGTATCACGCACGAAAAGTACATATTCCAGTTGAACGCTTGTTGAATGAAAATGGCTCCAGCAAAGACATCTACCTAGAAATTGATAGAATAAAAAATAAAGATATAAGCAATTTCTCTAAAACCCAAAATTGAATCGAATAATTTACCGAATTGAATTGAATTCTTTATTGCTTATCTGTATATTCACACAATAGAAATCATCTTGGTCCTCGTGCTTAAAATATTAAAACACTTATAATACAATTAATTAAAAAAGAAAACAGATTTCCTACAAACATCAAAAAAAGAATATTACACTCAAATAGATAAATAAACCGCATCGTGACATTAAAAAAAGATAACAACAAAGTAAGTACAATTGAAAAAGTGTTGATTGGTAAAAAAAAAAGTTATTTAGCAATTCTATTATTGACGGATGCCATCAAGCACACTGTAACCTTCCCATTATTGCATCCCATTTAGCGCTGTTACAACAGTTGGGTAATAGCTTCTCCCGAATCTTTCTGTTTTACACTCAAAATCTGAATAAGTAAAACCACGCAAGACGCAACAAACGAGTGAAACCATATCAGAGCATGCGCACGGGAAGCCACGTCGCAACTGACCGGCGCCATTTTACACGAGAAACACTCTGACTCACGGACGTGTATAATAAAATCTGGACTCGCAATGCCCTTAATCAGCTTATAGAGTCATTGAATCAACCCGCAGCCATTTTTCCGAGCCGAATACAAAGCTTTTCCGGCAATGCCCACCGTTGTTCTTCCTGGCGTCAATGGAAGGGAACCGCCCACGCTTTTGTATTCGGCTCGGTAAAATGGCCGCTGGTTGGCTTCTTTTTCATACAAAGGCGTTGCAAGTCCAGGTTTTTTTTTTATATACGTCCGTGCTCTGACTGAGTAAGACATAACTTCTATAGAGGAGCCATACAAAGTACAACTCTTTTTCAGGTTTCCCTTTATCAAAATTTGGAATTCTTGAAAGAGTGGAAATTTCAGTCTTTCGGGATGGTTTCACTTTTTTAGGGTGGTTTTCACTCTTTTAGAGTATAGTTTTTATACGGGATTGACTCTTTATAAGAGTGAGTTTTTTACTCTTTTGCTTTTAGAAAGTAGATTGTGTAATGATTTAAAATGAAGACGACGAAACAGTAAATATGAAATGTGACACAAAATGGCTTTTCGTGCTCCATGAAGAATTTAAGGTTGACAAAAAATTAACATCCTCGGTTTTGCAAAACACCATAATCGGTCACTCTCCATTTTAATATCACCTTACCGATATTTTCATGAGGATGTATAAAAACAGAGTACAGACGGAAACGACGATGCGAAGCCTTTGACCTCCATACCTCTTTCGAAGATATTCTGGCATCGTGACTACCTAAAACAGAGGCATAATACGGCCGTTTCACAATAATGCGCCACCAAGAGTTTGCAACACGTTGGCCAATCGTAACGCGCGAAAGTTGCCGACCCTTTCAAAACGCGCACTAGGTCGACAAATTTCGCGCATTGTGATTGGCCAACGCGTTGCAAACTCTTGGTGGCGCAGTATTGTGAAACGGCCGTATTAAATTAATAAATAAAAAAGAATCTTGAATTGTGGGCATTTGCTCTGACGGCAAGGATTAAAGGTAAAATGTTCAAATGACAACAAAAGGCATTTAGAAGATGCTTACCCCGGCAGAAATGTAAACGGGAACGAAAACCCAAGCAAGCAGGAGTACATAATAAATTGCCTGGAGATGAACAGAAGAAAAAAGGTTTCGACGTCAACGCACTTCAGCACTCGCATGTTCCTTAAAGTGCCTTTTCCCTCTCCAAAAAAACGCCGAAATTGCTCTTTCTCAACATTGGAGGCATCGACACATTTTAGTTACCGGGATACGACTAATTTTCACAGTGTCAAGGGGCCAACAGAACTGATGCATGAGTGATGTGCTTGCACTGCGAACGGTCTTTTTCTGGCTCAGCGAAACAGGCGACATGGGGAATAGGGTAACGGCTTGCTGTGTTACTTGGAAATTCTGTTATGAAGTGCATTACAGGGTTGCTGTGCGTGGTTAGCATCGTGTGGTGGATGAGCGTACTCGGCGTTGGTAAAATCCTTATTGGCACTCGTTCTTTCCAACAGCAGGTCTTTAATTAATGTAGGCAAGACACTTGTAGCAGTGACACTGAGCGATTGGAGCTTGGTCTCAGGCGGTTACTTAGTAACCAGCAGGCAAGCGCGCACGTCAATATTGGAAAACGAAGATACACGAGTTTGTTACAGTTTACTTCACTGACACACTGCAAAAGCTGGGGCGTTAAATTTAACACCCCCAGTGTTATCAGAGGACTACATCAACATTTTTCACTGTGTTAAAAATTTCGGTGTTATTTCAACACTCTTGGTGTTAATTTTACAACCCTCTGTGCATTGTGACACTTGTAGGTATGTAAAGTACACCAGCGGTGTTAAAGTAACACCTTATGGTGTGGTCATCTGATAACACCAAAAAGTGTTGTTTTTTTAACACCACAGTTTTTGCAAAGAAAGAAGAGCTTTTGTGAACCAACAACTACGCGAGCTGATTATTTCTTTGTATAAAATTTAATAGTCCGCCCGATTTTGTTGTCAGTTACGACAATAATTTATCGGTTTATACTAGATCATTTGAGATGAAACAGGAACATATGCATTGGCGTCATCAGGATTTTGGGGAGGGGCAGACCACTTTTTCCCGGGGGGGGACCTCTAGTCAGCCATGACCTGATAAACCATTTACAACAGGAGGAGATCAGTGTTGATTTTTTGGTCCAAATTTGAGATTTTCATCCCCTTTCTTCTCGCTTTTCCCCCTCTTTTTGTTTTTAAATTGTTCTTTCCCTCCCTGATGACGCCCAGGAAACAGCAGAAAAATGGAGCACATTTTTACATTCGTCATTATTTGAGGTACGTCAGAGGGTTGAATTCTTTTTACAAACAAACTAACAAACTTTTAAGCATTTTTCCCCTCTTGCCTGGACTTCGTATATCCCCACAGCCAACCCAGATGCCGCCCCGGTCCCGGCCAAGCCGATGAAGTGTCCTGTCCCGACGTTGCTGGCAAAAATGGATGCTCCGACCTGCAACGAACGTCCAAATCCATGACAATGATTATCTTCGCTGCGGTCCACTCAAGTCTAAATCATATAACTTGAAAAATGAGAAAAACGACTTCGAACTTAAGGTGGTTGCCATTTTATGAATTATGAGTGCAATTTTGCTGAAATTTCACAGGCATGTCGGGAGGTGTATTTGTTGAAAGATAAAATTTCCCTTTTTTACACGGATATTTAAGATGCTGCAATCATTTGAAAAAGATCAATGTTCTAATGTTTAATTCTTCTTAGGCGTAGTTCACACATTTCATGGGTAAATGATACTTCAAGGCAAAACGATGTATACTGGGTGACCTGCTTCAGATATGCGGGCATTTGACTTAATTGCACACCGGAATTAATGCATCAATCGAGACTTTCAGTGCATTTTATCTAAAAAGTAACTTGACTCTCCAGTGGCACGGAATATACTTCGTGAAATTTATCATTTCATGTAGGCCTTATGTTGGATTTCACTTATATATATTAAGGAAGATTGAAAATGTCAGAATTAGCAAGTCAGACACAATTAATAAAGACATTTAAATATATCCTTTTGACATCTGAATGACATTAAATGCTCGCATATAATAGCAGAGTGTTGTAAAATTTGATCACAGTTATTTCAAGGTTGAATGTCTCTTGTAAAGGCCGCTTTCAGTAAGTTTTATTTATCAGTTTATCAGTAATTTTTCAGTAAGTTTTTTTATCCGGAACACTTCATACACGTATACAAGCAGCCATACTTGTATACCGTAAGCTCAGACTTCCAAAGCCGAGGCAGATTTGAGAGACTCCTCTTCAATGTAATTCGAATATGAAATTGAATAACAATAATGGACGAATTTGCCAAGTAATTACGATGCATTCGAAACCTACCGGCCACCAGGTCATGGTTCTACCAGCAAGGAAATATCCCTTTGCATTGCTCCGCCTGGACTTGTACATAGACTGAAAATCAAACGATACAAACGCATTCACCACATTATGCAGCCGTGACATAATATTTTCTATGGTGTAATTTGACAGCTGGAATTAGAGGCCATTTCTGCGGTTGTACGACGCTCGTGGACAGGTGGTACGCGCGCGTTACATGCCACCTCGACCAATAGGGTGTCGCGATTTCCCAAATACACGCGCGTCAAGCTGAAAAACGCTCGTGTGAGTGTGGCGCCACCGCAGATAAGGCGTCTAATCAGATTAGTCTATGGGCCTGTATTTCAAAACTGGCGAAATTAAGAACAACCGATCCATCGTTATCATATCACACAACAACCTACTGTATTTATACTTCTATCTTATGACTATGAAGAAAAGAGATTGTAGTGACAATGTAACAAATTGGAAGTGGGTGTGCCAGTGGCTATGACTTAAGGTCTTTCCATTAGCATGCAATAGAGATTAGTCGGACACGATTTAGCACTGCTCACAGGGATACCCCGATCCTCGATAGGAATCTAAGGCAAGTTCGATCAAGGACCATAGTTAACCATAGTTAGACTTACTCTGCCCGAGCGCAGGCTAGTCGACAATGGTTGGACTAATCCAGTCAACTATTCGCGAGCAGCCTATCGAGGTTTGCTGCATCGTTGGTTGCCATAAATCGTTTTTTCAATAGCACAGTGCAGAAGGTTATAAGAAAACTGCTGGAAAAAACAGTACGTCGCTAGTAAAAGACCATTAATTTCCACTTTCCACTATTTGCTATCACCTTTTCTCCCCTTCGGCCTAATGACCTGACAACTGTTGGCTGGGGTCGTTCGTACTTCAACTTCACTGCACATGCACTAGGTACGTCACGAATCCACCACTACAGGCCCATGATCGAACTTACCCAAGGGGAACCAGAGCTGGATTCCATTTCAGTTTAAAAGACATCCTCCGAGCCGTAGCCACCCCCCCGTATACTACTATCAGCATGTAATAATCTACGTTCATTCTCCTTGGTATTCATTCATTCGTTTCGTTAGCATCGTGATATTTATAGTCTACATACTTAGAATCTAAATTTGGAGTTTAATAAACACACAAAATGACCCCCTTTTGTTTTTCTTTTGAAGCACGACAGAAATGGTTGGTCAGAAAGACCTCGTTTCGTTCGAAAAATGACTGCTCCGATTACAATGCGTATGTGCTTTCGTAACACACAACTATCAAGTGACTGCTTAAACTGCCACAAATCCGAGTAGTTAACTTACCCATAAGCCGACCAAAGAGACGAAAACGAAGTACAGGCAGATTACTGCGATGTCCACGGCGTCTACTCCGCTAGCGCTAGCCATGACGTGCGGTCAAATCTCCATGTTAAATTCGGGCACACGAGCTAGCTCTTATTTTCATAGCAAAGCCGCTCCCATCTGGTCGATGATGCATCGCACTCAAGCTTGACAGAGCACACAAGACAAAGTACAAACTGGATACACGTATGCACCGGTTCTTTTAGCATTAATTAACAAACTTCATGACAGCGAGGGGGATTTGGCTGGTTTTTCTTTCAATCAACTGTGAGTGCGCGTCAAAGTGGGCACTCGAGAAGTCGCGTACAGCTTGGTACGGCGCCGCTGTTACTGCATGTACTGTTGGGTACTGTTGGCTACATGTACATACTCTGGTGTGAATTTGTATTTTATACGGCTGAATTGAGTTAAACACAAAGACCATATTTTATGGGGCGGTGCTCTACTCAATCAAAGGCGAGCATGGTAGGTTGAAAGCTCTTGACGTGCAGGGACAAAAAGGCAAAACACTCGACATGTCGTGTTCGGAATCACCGCAGGTGATTGGTTCGTGGCATGTGGGGAAAACCATCACGGGCCGAGTTGAAGTAAAATTCAGTAATTTAGAAAGTTCACGCTGGACACTTTCCAGCGGTTAGTTTACTTCAAGATGGCAATTGGGTCATCGTCAGTTGAAAGGCGTTTCGTGGATGCCGCTTGTGGGCGCATGCCCAGTCAGATATGGTTTATACATTCAATGAAATGGCCGAATCTCAGTAACACGCGAGACGATACAAGTTTAAATAAAAATAATGGAATCGTTTTTTCGGGGGGTGGGAGAGTTGTTTCGAGACTTCTCTGATTCCAACACATTATGATTCGGCGACACTGGACACTCGGAGTCCGTTGCTATAGTTGGGCTTGTTTTTCAACCAACAGTTTTGAACAACTTTCAGCGCAGTCCTCCGGAACTCCTTTGCCATTAAGAAATAAATGATGACGTCCCACCAACTGTTGCAAATGCAGAGCCAGTTTACGAGGAAGTCGACCAGCGGAGGAGCTTCGCTCTTCACGGCGTAGTTCCGGAAGGACACGGCGATGTAGGGCGTCCACGCCACGCAGAACGTGCTGGCAATCAGGCTGCACATCTTGAGTGCGCGTAGGCCCTTGGCCGGGCCGTCCAAGATTTTGCGACGGGAGCTTGAGGCGCGCACGGCCCCCCTTTGCAGCTGGGCGCGGCGGCAGGCGTGCTGCCGCGCGATCAGGTACAATTTGGCGTAGCCGCCGATTAAAATCCCAGCGGGAATGAAAGCCGTGTAGGCCCCCAACACTACCAGCCGAATGAGGTACGGGGTCGTGCCAATGGACCATTTGATCAGGCACATAACGGCGGCGTTGTTGTAGGCAACTTCAACATCGCCCGTCAAAAGAGAAACGGCCAGCACCAAGGCGATCACAGAGGCCGCTGTGACGATGATTAATGCCCATTTTCCAGGGATCATAGTGGCATGGCGAAGGGGATAAAGTACCGTCAAGAGCCTGTCAATCGTGACGAGAACAGCGGCGTTGACACAGCAGGCGCATATCCAATTCTCGACGACGTGGCTGGCCTCGCAAAGAAACTGACCGTACGGCCAGTGGTTCAGTGCCGCCGGGGCGATGAAAATCATGCTGAAGACGCCGTACACCAAATCGGACAGAATGACGTACGACAGGAACACCTTGGAGCTGGGCGGAAATCGGGGCGAGTCGACGACTCGGATGACGGTGAGACTGAAGGCGTTCCCGCCGACGATCACGAGGGCGGTCAGCACGATGAAGCCTGTCCGCAGACCGGTCAGTAGTGGGCTGTAGGGACTGTCAGCAGGCGTCCCAGGCCCGTCCGAGTACGCCATCAAAGTCGCGCTCAAGACCAAAGGCACTGTATCATTGGCAGGCGCCATAATTTTGAGCATTTCGTGTCGATCGTCCACCTCGCAATACGAAGTAAATTTACCCACATTCGCTGTCCAGAACGTCGACAACGCGGTTGTTATGCATATGCCTAGTCGCTCGAAGCAGGGTCGAGTTGATCATTACACCCGGACAGAGTGACCTAGTCGAGTACTTCACGTACATGTACAATTGCTCGCTCGGCAGCGTCGACGTCGTGACGGAGCGATTCAGCAAGATCTCTGCGGCGGATATGAGACTGTCATTAATAGTGAACGCCGCTCCAGCTGGGACGCGGGATGAGCTGGTTGTCCTGGGTATATCAATCTGCGGCTACCGGCGAACTGCCATTTGTTTGTCGAGAAAGGCGGGATTTCGGTTTCAATGACTTCAGTTCAACAAGGTTGTTTTTTTGTTTTGTTTTTTGCTCTCTCGTCACGATTCACGACTCAGTGGCGAACTGGCGACATTAAACATGTTTGTTCTGCCGCATGGCCTAGACCTACTCACGAGAGGCGGCATGAATCTAGGAGTTGGGTGTGCTCGTCTGATCTCATGCGTGCCATCAATTTGGGGCTTCCCGGGCCGGGAAACGTCAGCACATTACAAATCCCAAACGCTTATGAGTCATTTTTTCTCACCAGATTCTGCCTTGGGTATACTGGACGCACGAAATGAAATTGCTTTCTCCGCTAGGAACTCATTCTCTCGTTCAATAAGACGATTTTACTGCAGTATCCGCCGATGCACGCAGTCAGTGGCTGACAGATATGAAAGCACCGCGGAAACTCTCGGGCGCGTCTCGATATTATCTTCCACACTGACGTACATCCGATCCACATGCGTGGTCGTTCAAAAACCTCCTCAACATATGGTTGAATAAAACTAAGAAATCGGATAACAAATGAAAACCGATAGTAGGTAGGGTCATCGTGATATAAAATGCAACGTTTAATGTTTAACTTGCTAAATATATTAACAAAGGGTTAAACTCTTATAAGCTACTCAAAGCGATTCAAGCAGTGCCTCATTTAAAACATCTCCACGACAAATGACATTTTTTATAAATGATCGATCGAGCAACTATCCAACTAATTAAGCAAACACGTCCATTTTCCGGAAAAGGGAAAAAAAGCGCAATTCGAAAGAAAAACACAAGCTTGTGAAACACGAACGAGACAGCCTTGACGTCAAGTACACCTTTCTGTTTACAAAACAAGCTCACTTTTCAAACAGTTCTTCAAATTTCGTCTACGTATTTGTCATGCGGATAGCCTTCTCCCTCCGAGATGTTTCAACTGAACGACTGAGCCGATACATGTACAATCAACGTTGATTTTCTGCTTTGGAATTTCGTTTGCCAAGTTGCAGTAGGCCTTACATGAAAACTCCCACTCTCGTTGAATTTTTAAAGTCTCACTAAATTAAAGTTTGGCACATTTGCATAAAATGACTGTTGTTTTACATGTAAGCGAACAAAACACACAGACGCAGGTGGAGACACTACGCGTGTATATCTGACTTTTAAACTAGTGCCAGTCTAGAAATGTACAGTATAACACGTTTAAATCTCTTTTTTCGTGGGAAAAAATGAACCAGAGATGTATGCACTATTGAGGTGTGACTTAATCTGTTCGTTCCTTCAAAATAATTCAATCTGCTATATATCTATTATGCAATCAGTATTAAAGGGATACATACATATACCCCTAGCAAAGAGCAAAGGAATATATACCCCGAGCAAAGGAATTATGTACCCCTAGCAAAGGAGTATATCCCCAGCAGAGGAATATATACCCCCAGGAAAGAGCACAGGAATATATACCCCCAGCAAAGGAATTATGTACCCCTAGCAAAGGAGTATATCCCCAGCAGAGGAATATATACCCCCAGCAAAGAATATACATGTATACTTATGTGAAGAAATACCTACAATAAAAGAAAATATGCCCCCAGAAAAAGAATATGCAGCCATAACAAAAGGAATATTTGCCCCCCAGCAAAGGAATGTATACCCCATTAAAGGAATATATACCCCAGGAAAGGACTATGTGCCCCCAGTAAAGGAATATGCACCCACAGTTGAGGGACATATACACCTGATAAAAACCCAAATTAAATCATACAATATATCATACATTCATATATACATCAAAGAACTAATTCTTTAAGAGTCTGGCTAGTTGGGCTTCGATTTCTTGATCTGCTGTGTCCCTTGTTTTTTCCTTGCCTGCTGGTAATGTGTACGAGGCAGTGGGAGCATCTGACAGCTGTTGGATTCAAGCATAAGTTATTATACAGGTAACTATCGGGTCTTTTGTCCTTTTATGGAAGCAATGGCAAGTTGCTGCTTTGCACATGACCATCAAGAGGGTCGTAGTGACCTCCAGACACCCCTGTCAAGAGCAAGGGACCAGCATTCATTGGGAGACAGCTTTGCTCTTGCAATAAGCTAATTTTTTCCCCCTTTCATCCTCAGACTGAGGAACTGAAACTGATATTAACAGATCTCCATAATCATGCGTATGAAACTAGACCGATGGCAGGAGGGTTTCTGCTGCCGTAGCCTACGTCCAACACTGGAATTATGTCTACCATTGTGGCTATTCTCCACTGTTATCCAATAGCAAACATTCAGCTGCAGCCATAAAGTCTCCAAATCAGATATGGTCTTACCTTGCCGGCTACTTCAATGCCGATCTCGTCTAGGACCTGGTTGACAATGGCGTCTTGCTCCTCTTCATCACCAGACTCCTCAAACATGGCTTCTAGGGTGTCGTCCACTGCAGTGACAGAAAAGAGAAACAGGCAGTTCATAGACAAAATCTTCTCATTGACGAACAGACAGATTGGGGAAGATTTTGCAGCACAGAGGAAGGTGAAGCACAGCCACTGTGGAGAACTTGGCTGCCGCTCCAGAGGGAACACAGCATTCCCATGAGATCACTGTCACAGAACCGTCTGTGCACAAAGGGAACTGACCACTCCTGCCGAAGTG